AGTGAAGCTGGCAGCAGTGTTTGCCTCTGAGAAACTTATTTTTTATTATTTTTCCTTTTGGATCTTGAACTTCATCCCATAAATATGCATCATCCATTTAAAACATTTTAAACTAAAAATACTGTTAAATTTCTTGTTAAATTTACCCACATATGGTAGGCCTGTCTTTTAATGTATATACGAGTTAATTTTTGGCGGGAAATCTTTGATTTCTTCTTTTATGTGACTGTGAAGTCCAAAGGCACATTTTAGATGATGTTTGCAGAAGTTCTGTGTTGGTGATTACTGTTATTTTGGAGAAGTTTATTGGGAAATAAAAAATAAGCTGAGCTCTCATCCTCAGCACTCTGAACCTAGTGCAGCCCAGTCTATGATGATTCATAGAAATTCTTTGTCTGAAGGGTGCTGGAGCTGTGCTATCAGTATTTTAAAAGTTAGCACTGTTCATATTTTTTCTCTTCGCTTGTGGCAAGTTATGAATGGGAATAATGACAGGATGAAAAGTTTATGGAGGATCCATTATAAGATAATTATTTAAAGAGATTTAGCTGGGTGTTGCGATACACATCTGTTATCCCTGGTACTCATGAGACTGAAGAAGGAGGATCCAAAGTTCAGGGGAAGCATGGGCTATTTAGCAGGACTGTGTCTCAAAATTAAAAAAAAAAAAATTAAAGGACTAGGAATTTAGCTTAGTGGTAGAGTGCTTGCAAAGCGCTGGGTTCCGTACCCAGCAATACACCACACACACACACACACACACACACACACACACACACACACACACGGCACACATGGCACAGGGCAGGGGAGAGACAATTTATAACATTTTACCTTGCATCAGGCGATAATTTAAAGTCCCATTTGTGAGAATTCTTTTTTCTTACAATGACTTTTTATACTATAGATCAAGTGAGATTTCAAAATAGTCCAGTAAGGTAAGCTTCTGCCTGTTACAAAAGTGAAAAAACAAAACAAAACAAAAAACAGACATTGAGATACAGGAGGGTTGGGCACTGCCAGAGTTGTGTCAGAAATAAATCAAATGATTTCTTTTCAATTCCACTGTATGTGTTTCTTACATGTTTGTGTTGATACTGGATGGTATGGGTGCCGGACTGATGTTGCCTGAGTGGTTTCCCTCAGAGGACTCAGCACTCAGGTCTCATGGGAAAGATGATGATGAAGATGAGGAGGAGGAGAGGAGATATCTTTGACAAGTGGAAACGTTTGGGTTTACCTGTGTATGGGTGAGTGTGCACAAAGCGCTGGGCCAGAGTCTGACAGATAAAAAGAGCTCAACACCGCATTTGGAATGGGAATGGGCGTATAGTAATAATCTCTTGGGTCCGAGCTGTGTGTGGGGTCACAGGGTGAGGCCACTCGTTGCCTGTCTCCCACTTTCTTAAGAACCATCAAGTCCCTGTGCACTGTCCTGCTGTTACGGTTTGTGTCCAGATGTTACCCGAAAGCCTCATGTAGTCATGGGGGTGGTTCAGAGGTGGCTGAATCTAGAGTTTGTGATTGATCCATCCTCCAATGCTGGCATTAAAGGTGTGAGTGCTACACCCACCATAGGGCAGGTAGCCTGCATACAATATAAGGGACAGAAAGAAGCTACCTACCACCAACCCCCTTGTTGCTTTTGCTGTTCTCTGCCTCCATGAACTGTTGCCCTCATGCCGTGGGCCACCCTATCTTGGAGCCAGCTGATTATGGATTGAAACCTCTAGAAACTTTGAACTAAATAAACCTTTCGTCCTTTAACATTGGGTGTCAGGTATTGTGTCTCAGCAATGAGAAAAGTAACTAAGACACTTGTCTTTGTATGCCACCATAGTAAACCACTTCCATGATTTTTACTTTCTCTAGGTACAGCAGTGCTATTATTTATGAAGAGCTTTTGAAAACATTAATTCAGGCTAATTTTGCTTTCTACTTAAGCTTAGCTTTGCTTTAAGCAATGGTCATGGTTTTTTGGTATGAATAATATATGTTTTAGATATAATTTGAAAATATATGCCTATGATACTAGAATAAAATATATTATATTTATAATATTAGAGTAAAATAGAGAACTTCCTGAAAAGCTCTCATGTAGCATGGTAGCCAGTTGTAATACAGGAAATGAGACATCACAGAGTAACTTTGTCCTTGGGGTATTGCTGTAACCTGAAAAGGACCCATGAGCTACTTGGAAACTACTCCCCTTTAAATCCTAGGTTTGGTTGGAGGAAGAAGCCCTGGAACTGGAAGAGTTGTACACCTGCTGCTCATGCTATCAGCACACACTTTCAGAGCAGAAAGCTTCTCCAGGCCCTGGCCGTGCATGCTTAGACCAGCTGGACGGTATTTGTGCTCCAGCGCGCCCTGCATTGCTACTGCTGGTCTCAGCTCAGAAATAACCTTTCAGATAAATGTACTCTAGCCAGCTACTTAAGAGCAACAAGATTAAATTCTGTGGGTAGTGAAAAAGTCAAGTGTTTTCCGGGGAAGAGCCCATTTGTATAGCCTGTCTGGCAAAAGCTCAGATACAAAAGAATGAACTCAGGGAAACCTTATCTTTTGGACTTGGCTTAAGATATACTGGCCTATATTATATACTGGATATGAAAGAGTATATGAAATCAAGCTGTGCAGTTTATAAAATCTTAAATTGACAATCAGATGTCTCCTACTCACTTTAAGAAATAGAAAGTTACTAGCCCCTGAGAAGCCACTGGGTGCCCATTTCTGAACACATTTGCCTCCCTAGCCCTGCCTCAAGAATTACCTTCCTGAATTTTGTCTTTCTTTATTCTTCTAATGCCTATGGATAAATCACTGAAAAACATGCTGTTTAGTTTTGCATGCTTTTGAACTACGTGTGGGTGGAATCTTGCTTTTTTTCATTTAACATTATCTTTTTGAGAGAATATTGAATAATATTGAATTAATAGCCAATTCTTTTCTCACTGCAAACTCCAGCCCAGATCCCTTTTGGATTCTTGCTTTTATCTTTTAACCAGGATCTCTGTTGACAGATTCTTCCTGCCAGAGCTCTTTGTTCAAATCACCACCAAATATTCACCATATTTGATTAAGTTCAAATTGAATTAAAAACCATAGTTGAATTAAAAATTATTTTCTAAAAGCATATGAAATGGTATGAGACATTTTTTCCATATATTGTTAAATTTATGCATACACAGTATTTCAAAGCACTTAGGGACCAACATTTTAATTATGCTTGTCTCTGGACAGTAGGGTTATATAGTTTAGTGTTTTCCCAAGTTTACATCAGATTATATGAGGCCTTGGAAATAAAA